TAAAATTTTATATAAATAATATTTGTAAGTTAATTTTAACTCAAATTAAAGATAATATAAAATAAATAATAACATAAATTGCGGGGAGTACATAAAATTTTCAAATTTTAAGGCTAATGGAAGTCTTCTTCTCACTGTCTTCAGCTTTTCTCTCCGTCTCTATGTACAAAAGGCCGAAGCCAGACTCAGTTCAACGATATCCTGATTTAAGACTGAGAGGCCCATGGAACAACAGCTTATGCTCAACGCTGCTTCAATGAATTGGGCCATTTATATGTCAAAACTAGGCCTCATGGTTATTGTTTTGACTTTTGAGCGTGCATTCTTCTTCTTCTCTTGTATAAAGACTTGGGCCGCTCCCTAGTCGGACAGGTAAAAATAAGTGGAACAGTAGTATACATATTTGTTTAACAATTTGTTGTTCCCAAAAAAAAAAAAAAAAAAAAAACCTGTAGTACTACTTTAGTATAAGCAGAAAGCGTGATGTGGGGTCTACTTTGTATTTTTAATCGTTATTTTCGGTAAAGTCCCAGCTAAGCATTTGACCGTGACAGTTTTGCTTTGACTGTACGCCTTGGCGTATTCCGGTCTATGCTTTGAGACTTTGACTGCCTTTTTTGCCTTTGGTGATGTATAGGAGCCTAATCCGACACCGCCACGTGGCACAGAAGATAATGACACTCTGTTTCCGGTAATTATCAATTATTAAATGAATAATTAATTGATTTGTTTAATGCTAACTAATTGTACTAGATGGTAAGAAGGGAGCCAACGGCCAAGATTCAGTTCTCCTTTCTTACTTCCTGTATTTTTTTTAGGGCAGTGTCTGTAGGTTCAGTACCCTGCAAATTCTAAGTGGGTACCCCGTGAATTTTGTAATTTTACTAGGTTTTCGCACGAATAATTTACTACTAAGTTTTTCTTTTAATTTGGGAAATTGCGGAGGCAAAGATGCAAATTTTAAGTTGTATTTTTGTGTTTAATCATATGTTTTAAGTGATTAAAAATTAAAAATTAAAAAATTTAAATTTAAATTTCAAAATAAGTGAGTTGAGGAAAATTGAGGAATATTCCTTTTGTAATCAATTATTAAAAAGTTGTGGGTTTGTTAGTTAAAGCACCGGAGTGTTAGATGGAGTTTGGATTAATTGCCTTTAATGGTTTGACAGGTATTATTATTTGGATTCGGATTTAGGAAATGGTCTATTTAAATCTGGTTTCTTGGGTCTGAATAACAGGACATCACATGAACATATAGGCTGTCACATGAGTCATGTACCACTTAAAATGTGAATTGGTGAGAGTTTTATCTCTTACTCCCAAATCATTCCATTTGTTTATATAATTAAAAAGTTGGTAAATTTAAGTCATTTATAATAAAATAAATAATT